AGAGAACGGATGATTTCTTTACCTGTGTTCACTTTCAAGATGCACATGGGTGTGAGACCCAATGTACTAACTCCTCCACCATAAGTCATGGACAGAAAAGGCCTGACTTCACAAGGACTCATGAAAAACATCAAAAGATCTAATGGGGTCACAGGCAAGAATATGAATTATTTTCCATAGTCTCGTTACAAAGAAGTAAAATTCAAAATTGACTAATTTATAAAGAAATAATGTGCAGAGATCACCGTAAGAAGTAGGTCATGTGGAATATGAAATATGTTATGTTTGAAGGTCATTTTTATTTTAGAGAGTACCAAATAACTCACCTTTCAGAGCTAGGAGACAAGACATAGCTCCACAAATATAAGGATCGGGTGACTTCCAAATACTGTTTTAAAAGTGCGCACTACAACAGATACTCCTCCCCAACTCTCCCTTCCCCTCCTCTCTCCCCCTCCCCCCACACTCACACACTGCTGCATGTATCTACAAAAGATTGGACAAGTATTGTCCGCTTTCTTAGTCCTCTTGGAAATTATTTCCTTTCATCACGCGGCATAGCTATTTCCTTGCTCCATACCTATAGAAAGCCAATATATTTGTATATCAATTATCCCATTTTTATATAACTCAGATGGTTAGTTTACAAATGGTAATGTTTTCATGCCTGTTTAGCATGTAGTTCAGGCTTTTGAATATAACCTGTGATGATTAATATTACATGTCTACTTGGCTAGCCTACGGTGCCCAGTTCTTTGGTCAACCATCAATCTAAATGTTACTATAAAGGTATTTTTCAGATGTGATTAACACTGAAACCAGCAGACTTTGAGTAAGGCAGATTACCCTCCAGACTGTGGGTGAACCTCATCTAATCAGCTGAAGGCCTTTAAAGCAAAGTCTAAAGGTTCCCGAAAAAGATGAAAATCTCCTCACGTCTGCAACACAGCCTCCACCACCCTGCAGAATTCAGACTCAAGGCTGCAGCAACTCTTGCCTGAGTTTCTAGCCCATGGCCTGTCCTACAGATTTCAGACTGCCAGTCCCTAAAATTGTGTGAGCCAATTCCAATTCCTTAAAACAATTTTCTTCCATTATCTATCTATCTATCTATCTATCTATCTATCTATCTATCTATATCTATCTATCTACATCTCCTGTTTCTCCTATTGGCTCTGTTTCTCTGGAGAACCCTGAAAAACATATAATCAAATTACCCTATCTTCACATGACATCCTTGTAACTGTGCCTTCTTTAAAATGAACATCTCCATGGTTCTTCATTTTCAGAAAAGTGTGTGTGCTGCTGATTACTTTGCAGATGTTCTGTGTGACCGCATAGGGAAGTCCAGGCCCACCCATCACTGTCTCCGGAATCAGTGTGCAATCCCGAGCTGGTGGGTCTGCAGCGGGGAAGACCGAGGCGCTGGCAAAGCCCCTGGGAAGACTGATCCTAGAACACCGGGCTGAAAATCGTAAGGGAGTTTGTCTCTCAGCACTCACAACAATTTTTATGAAAGAGTAGGTGGAGGATGAGAAGAAAAAGCATCTAAAACTCCCTTAGGTTTTGAAAATAGAGCTTACTGCTCTCAAAACAGTGTGAGAGGGGCTGAGTGTGCTGAGGGGAGGGCAAGAAGCCAGTTTGTGGTGGGGGTGTCATGTCACTTATACGCTCCGCCTACTTCTATTTTTTGATGACCAGGTTTTACTTTTGTTTTCAGGACAGTCTTGATTTTGGGTATTCTGTCCTATGATGAAATGACCTGTTAGAATATGTTTCCGGGTTTTTGGCTGGGAAAATATGGCTATCTTCTATTGCTTCTGTAATTACTTTCCTGTCTCCATGATTTCCTTCATCACACTCTTCCGAGTTAACTTGGCTGGCCTCTCACCCCCTTCTGAGCCTTTCCGGATCATGACCTTCATTTAATGTCCATTTTGAATTGCACCCTGTGGGGCACTGTACAACTTTCATGGGCCTTGGGCACTTTTGCCTTCATGGGCTCCTTCCTTCATAAAAAAAAAAAAAAATCTAAAAATTTATTTTATATTCTTGCTGGCAGAAAGAAATATAATCCACAAAGGAGTATCCAGTAATCATTTTTTCCCTATGATTTTAAAAGAAATTCAAAGCTTCTCATGGGCCCCTTCAAGTATAATCAGCCCTGGGCACTCTGCCTCTGGATCCTATTGGATAATAAGGCATCAGCGAGTCCTCCATAAAAACGCCTTACACAGATGCCCCCCCTTACACATTAGCATTAACACACTCTCTGGACACAGAGAGACTCAAATTCAAATCCCAGGTTCTTCACTTTCCAACTATAAACCAGAGTGAGTGATTCAAGCTTTCTGAACATCAGTTTCCTCGTTGGTATAATTCGTACCTCATACAGTTGCCATGGTAATGTGAGATCATGCATACACAGTGCTTAGGACCTGGCCTATGGCAAATGCTTGAAATCGGTAGCTGTTTCTATTTAAAGTGACATCGGTCATTAACTATCTTCATTTTAAGTATTACATTACTATTTACCTTTTCACTTACATTTAACTCCCTTATTAAACTGTGAACTCTCAGAGGGCTGGGAATACATTTTAGACCAGAGGTTCTCAAACGTTGGTGTGCATCAGGGTCACCTGGAGGAGGGACTGAAACATGGATGGAGCCCATCCCGAGTTCTTGACTCAGGAGGTCTGCTGGGGGGCTGGTAATTTGCATTTATAACTAACACCCAGGTGATGCTGAGGCCGCTGGTTTTGGACCCCACTTAGAGAATCACTGCTTTAGACATCTCTGCCTCCTCCAAAATCTAGCACAGAGGGAAGTTTTCAAGTACTAATATTTTGATACTAGTATTAATATTGGTAATAATACTAGTATTTATTTATTTATTTTTAATTCTCACCCGAGGATATTTTTCAATTTATCTTCAGACAGAGTGGGAGGGAGAGGAAGGGAGAGGAAGAGAAAGAGAAAGAAACATCAAGGTGAGAGGGACACATCAAGTGGTTGTCTCCCCCACAACCCCGACCAGGGCTGGGGAAGAACTGCAACCGAGGTACATGCCCTTGGACAGAATCAAACTCATGACTCATTGGTCCGGGGGCCAACACTCTACCGCTGAGCCAAACCGGCCAGGGCAATATACTAGTATTTTCATAATACAGATATTTCCAAGTAAATTATTTATGCAACAGGTAATACAAAGGCAGCAGGAAAATCTGCCTCCTCTCCCAACTGTGAGAAAACTTTAGGAGCTGAGCAAAAATGATCTGAGCAAAGAAATCTTATTGAAAGAAAAGGGGCAAGTGGCACAGCGGAGTTCTATCATCTGTCTGATTTCGGGGGCATGTGCAAAATGCAGACAAGAAGCCAAACAATAGCTCAGCCAACTCCAGGCTGCCTGGGTTCTTAGCTCAATCTATAACCATGCCAGCAGGGCTGCTGGGATCCATCTGCTACTCCCTTTCTGATAACGGATCGGGGGTCTCTGGAAGGAAATAGCTTGACAGGAAGAAAAAAAGATTAGACTAACTGAAAATGTCTGGATTTATGAAGCTGCACTTGACTAAGGCACAGCTTTTAACTCTTTATGGCACTTTTAAGTCTCAACATACCCTTGTTATTCTGTGGGTTCTCTATTCCCTTCCTAGAGAAATGCAATTTGTTAAAATACCAAAGCTCTCCTGGATACAAGTTAAGTTTGCAGGATTTAATACTGAGGGAAGGCTTGAGAGTCTCTAGCCCAGCCACTGGTTTTATAGATAAGGAAACGTATACCTAGGTTTATCCTAAAATGTGTAACCAACATGATGGAGTGAGGCGGGAGTCCAGATTCCTTGACCCACAGTGGTTACGTGGTGTGTATAGTCCTTTATACTCTCTAAATGAGTAGAGGAAAAGATATCTTTTCTCCACTGCATTTTAAGGGGGAAACACGATTTACCTCTTTTCCTAAGTTTTCACAATTTGCCCTTTTGTCTCTAGAAGCAGGAGGGCAAATAAAGAGAAACACAAGCCTAAACAATGTCAGCAGGGCCCTGGCCTGTTTGGTTCAGTGGTTAGAGCGTCGGCCTGCGGTCCTGAGAGACCCGGGTTCGGTTCCCGCTAAGGGCGCGTACCTCGGTTGCAGTTTGTCCCCGGCCCTGGTCGGTTGTGCGGGTGGCAGCCACTCGATGTGTTCCTTTCACATCGATGTTTCTCTCTCTCTCTCTCTCCCTCCCACTCTACCTGAACAACAACAACAAAAAAAAAAAAAAAACAATGTCAGCAGGGCCTGGGAGCTGGAGGGCACAGAGCAGATTCTCGAAAACCTGTGGTGAGTGAGGGAATGAATGAAGAATGAACGAACCACTGGTCTTGATGGTTTTTCAGCCAATTAGGGAATGATGTTTCACACTAAGATTTTCAGCCTGCTGTGGAAGTCTCCTTGTTCTCACTAGTAAGTGAGGTACTTGTATAAAACCAGAATCACCTTTTCTATGTGTCTGCTGGAAAGTATGGGCTTTGAGAGTAGAAAACTTTGAATCCCTGACTGTTCACTCTGGTTACTTCATTCCAGGCAAGCCATAGAATCTTTCTGACCCTTATGTCTCCTCCCGCTTCAGGATGTATGAAGTAAAGAGAACAATACCTCCTACCTCCGGGTTACTGTAAGGATTAAGTGAGACAGTGTTGCACACTGCCCTTGCCAGGAATAAGTGTTAGCGCCCTCCCCACTCTGTAAGGGTGACACTGGTGCTCAGCAGGCGGAGTCAGGACAAATTTTGGGAGGGTAAGTATAAGATTCTTGGTGGAAGCTAGAGGGCTTTTTTGGCTGAACATATATAAAAATTCTTATTATCAGTATGGTTATCCAGCAGCTGCTTTTATTGATGTTATGCTCTGCAATAGATATAAGCAATCTTGAGTATTCTTCATACTCCATAATCCCTTACCATTTCCCTGGTTTCTCATAAAATAGTTTTCAGGGGAAAAAATATTAGCTTTTGGCTTACCTGTTCGGTCTTGGCTTCCTCGTTCTGGGCTCGAGAAACTCTGTCTCCTCCTCCATTTCCGTTTCAGGGAGTATGTTTTTCTGAGAAGGCTGTGGTGAAAGCATTTCCCACTCATTGTCATGGGTGACCGTCTGCAACATAACAGTGTCCGGGCCAGTACTGCTGCGGCTCTTGCTCTTCTGAGATTGGCTGCCCAGGCCAGAGGCTTCTTCTGCTGCTACAGATTCTAGAGGCTTTGTTTCTCCCAGAAACTGCATTTGGGGACCCATGTCCAAGTCGTGATCAGAGGCTGGCTCCACGACCCTGTCAGACCATTCGGGCCCTTTGTCCCCAGCTTCTGAGGATGGATTGCCACCTTCACTATGACCCAAGACCATCCAACTCTGTTCTTGTCCAGGGCTTTCAAGAGATGATCTCTGATCATCCTTGGAAGACATTCTCTCTGCAGAATGATCTTGTTGTTCATTTAAGGAGTGAGGCTGACAAGTGTCTGGGAAGCTGGCTAACTGAGTTCCTGGCAGCCCCATTGGTTTGGGACCTGTATGAAACTCTTCTGCCTCGGGTGTGCTTTCTCTGGCTTCACAGGCCTCCGGCTCGGGGGGTGAATGTCCTTCATGGTTTACAAGTATGTAGTCCATGTGTTGTGCTTGGTGGTCTTCATTCTTCTCTCTGTTCCTTTCTTCTTCGCATTCCGGTTTTCTCTGCTCAGGCTCTTCGGTAGGAATTACTGCTTCTTCTTCAGACCCTACTACTTCCTCGCTGGCACCTAAAAGTGGAAGATGAAGGTGAGAAGGGGAGAAACACAGCTTAATTAACACGTTCTATTCTTTGTGATCTTAGCAAATGATCCATCCATAGAGAGATAATTTAAGAAATATCTGTTTAACAGATGGCACCCAGAGGGGAGGGGAGTGAGGGACTGGGTGAAAAAGGTGAAGGGATTAAGAAGTACAGATTGGTGGTCACAGAATCATCATCAGGATGTAAAGGACAGCATGGGGAATATGGTCAACGATATTGTAATAACTTTGTATGGTGCCAGGAGGGTACTTGAAATTTCGGGGGAACATTTTGTAAAGTATATGATTGTCTAACCACTATGCTGTACACCCGACATTAATACAAAGAAATATTGAATGTAAACTGTAATAAAATATTTTATACCAAAAAGATCTGTTTAATCTTCTCATGTACTCTCAAGGATAGGTATTATACAAGCAGTAGATCCTACTGTTGTAATATAGGACATGGTTAGACTTGGTAGGATGAGTGTGTTTTGCAAATGGGTTCATTGAGTGAAACAGCTGTTTCTGGGGGTAGTGGAACGAAATGTGAAATGTTTCTTACCATTTGATGGTCCTATGTCTCCACCTGCTGGTGAGTCTGAATGATCTGTTTCTACTTCCCAGTCAATGTTTGACGGAGACAACTCCATGTTGGAGTGGCCTCCTACAGGCGAAGAAACTGACTCAGGGTCTTCATGAATATGCAGTTCAACCAGCTGGTGTTCAGGCTGTCTGATTTTGGTCTCAGTGTGGTTTTCCTTGCTTCTTCGATCAGGAAGAGCAGAAAGCAATATCTCTCCTGCTTTGCTCCCCAGAGACTTGTCCTCCAGAGACCCAACTTCCTCTGTCATTTCAACACCAACAGTAGATCCCGTGAGGTAGGACAAATCAAAGGGAGGTGTGTACGGTGCCAGTGACTGCTTCACAGCATCTTCTTCCAAGGGATGGTCACCACCGTAGAGAAAGTGTTCAGGCTCTTTAATGAAATCTTCATCAATATTTTGGCCCATGACATCATATTCAAAATCACCCCACGAGGCTTCTGATGAACAGATATCTTGCTTCCCAGTATCACCATCCACTGGCGTATCGGGATTGCCTTCTGATAATGTCAGTTTACTCATGTCATCGATTGTTCCCGTGGATGTGTTGAGACCTGAAGCATCACTGAAACTATGTTCAAAGGCAGCTTCGCTTACATCCAGACAAGTGTCCGAGGCTAGCAGAGCATTAGGCACGGAGGCAGGGTTCTCAGTAATGAAAGGTTGTTCAAGGTCCAACAAGGCTGCTGAATCTGTCTGGCTTTCAAAAGAAAAGTCCTTTGAGATCCAAGAGTTATCACCATCCATAGTTGGCTCTTGGTGAGTTACAGGAATACTGGTTCCCACCTTTTTAATCACTGGGATTGTTCTGTCCATGGGTTCCAAAATCGATGCCATATCTGGGTCGGCTTCGTTTTCTGATGCTTTTAAAACTGTGTTGTTTACATCATTTATTTCCGAAGGCTCGGGAGAACCACTGTGAGAGGCAGCAGGCTGAGATGAGTCCTTTGTGTTTGCTTGATTGTTGACTGGAGGCAGTGGAATTTTGTTTACAGAATATAGTGCTGAATTGTACAGAACAAGCTCCTGTCCAGGCTCGTGACGAGGTTCCTCCTCCAGCTTTGGCTCGGTGAGATATAACTCACTGGCTTCCCCTTCAGGTCCTATCCTAGCACTGATGTGCTGCCCAGTCTCTTGCTTGGCTTCATGGTCATGGCATATATCCGGGCTGCTGGCAGCCTGAGCATTGCTGTCCTGGTCACAATAGTGAGTCAGTATATCAGGATTCTCACCATCTGCTTTCAAACTGAAGGGCTGCTTAGCAGCCACCCACAAGTCAGGTGAAGCTGAGGCCAACGGCCCACCCTCTTGGAAGTTGCCATGTAAGATATCTGGAACAAACATGCTTTGGGGGCCCTCGCTAGGGGTAGAGCCGTCCCATTCAGCACCAGCCTTCTGTATCAACTGGGCAGGACTGACAGCAGGGAAATCTTCTGGAGCAATGCCTGAATTTGTCATTTCACTGGAGTATGACTTTTCTCCCTCCCACCAATTTGTTTCTTGACGCTCAATAGTCGAGGCATTAGCCATAACACATCCATTTTCATCTACATGAGTAAATGCTGGGTCTGGCTGGTCCCAGACGGACAGCACTGTATTGTGACACTGTTCTTCAGTAGGTGTCTCAGAAGTCAGTTTGTCATCAGCAGAAGACATGAAGGTTTGCTCTCGGGGATCCTTTTCTTTTCTTTGGTCCAATATTACAAGCTGGCTAAGCTGATCAGCTTCTGGGTCAGGCTGCCTTGGTTGAATGTTCCAGAGTTGCTCATGGGAGTTCTCCCCATTACTATTCAGAAAGGGGGACTGATGTTTATCACCAAAAGGATTAGTACCATGTGTTTCCATGCATTCCATATCACCCTGAATGGGTACTCCCCAAGGACCCACACCTTGATACTCTGAAGAATTCCTCTCTAACATACCGCCTGAGCTAGACAATTCCCCTTCAAATGTGTTCCCAGCTGTTTGCCCTTCCTGTTGGGGTGTGTTCCACCACTCTGGGCCCTCAGCAGAGACGTCAAGCATTTCCAGTTTAGAATAACTTTCATTCTTTGGTTCCGTTTTGGGAGATATTTGCCACATGATATTTTCTGTCCTCCCTGTTTCTGGAGATCTTGCCTCCTTATCAGCAGCTGCCATCTGTATTTCGGTCTCCTTCAATGGTGAGAAACTGTAGTGATCAGGGTTGCTTGAATGATTGTCACTGAATGGGTCTGATGTATTCTCATTCTCTGCTCGTCCTGAACTGCCTACGTAGGCAGATAATTCCTCAGACTTGGGATCTGCCATGGCCAAGGATGTATTAGATTCATTTAATGAGTCCCAAGCTCTGGGTTCATCCAGAACAAGGTGGCAAGTGGCCAAATGGCTGTCTTTCCCCACTGACTCCTCATCACCTGCACTATCATCATCAGAACCTGAGCTTGTTGACATGAACTTGGCCTCCTCCGGCTGCACAGTGTCAGGAACATCACATTCCTTTTTCTCCTGATGGCTAGCCACTAGATTTTCTTCCTGATATGCGCCTGGATACTCAGAATATTTACCTGTTTCAGGGCTGGATACAGAGGAAAATGAATCACCATCTACGGAATCATTCCATATCTCTAAATATTTAGGGACCTTGTGGTCTAAGCTCCTTTCAGATTCATCCACTCTGTTTTTCTCTGGGTCCTTTATTTCAGCAATTACTTCTAGTTGGCCATCAGTAGTAATGAGTCCAGATTCTTGGTGATTCTGTTTACTCCAATCGTCTTGATTCTCCTGACGCTCAGTGCTGGGGCCCTGATCCCAAGAAGGCAGAGCAGCCGAAGAATCATTCAGGTCAGGGGTTGATGCACTGGAATGTGTATACTCACTAGAAATACTACCTCTGTCATACTTTCCTGATGATCTGGCTCCCGGGGGGCTGTTTCCAGCACTCTCACCTTCCAGATTCTCAGTTATCTCAGAACCTGTGTGACTGACCTGCACATCACTGTCGTTAGGGCCACCCCAAACGTCAAGGCTTTGGGGACATTCCGGAGGTGGTTCTTGGTTCACTCTCTCTGGCTCCAGAGTGTCACATTCTTCCGTTCTCTCAAGATCCATTTCAGGAAAAGATACACTTTTTGTGATACCAGGCCTATCTGAAATGTCAGTAGTTTCCCTTGAATTCCTGTGATTCACAAGGTGCTTTTCACAGGTCTCTCTGGCCGGCAGGTGCTTTGTGGACACCTCTGTCTGCACATCACAGGCTTCTAAATTGTAAGATCCCTTCTCATGCTCTGAAGGCTCCTGGAGTTCCTCAGTCTGAGGACTAGAAGTGACTGCAAGAGAGCTGATTTTGCCTGACTCATCGCAGACTTCGTCATGTTCAGATGCAACTAGGGGAGAGCATTCCTGGTCACCGTGCCCTTTTCCAGATGTCCCCGAGGCTCCATCCATCACTTCCGCCTCGCTAAGGTGCTCCCTATCAACGGCTCTGTGAGTTTCCTTCTCATTTCCACGTTGCCCATAACCAGGACCTTCCCATGGATCTATGTACACAAAAGGCCCTGGGTTCTCCAGTCTGGTTGCCAGGGACGCTGTCTCACCCAGCAGGCTTCCCCTGCACGTGTCTTCCTGTTCTGGGTCCTGTGCTCCCAACTCACTGGCTCCAGGGGCTTCTAGCACATCTGGGATGGGGCTGTCCTTAATTTTTTCTGGTGAGCTGGGAGTTTCCGGAGGCACTCTGCTTTGCTCTGAATCTGAAACATACGATGGGCCTGGTAACATTAATGATGACATGTCGTTATCTCTCATGACGGAATCCCAAATAGTATTCGCAATGAGCTGTCCGCTTTTTTCATTCAGTAGGTGACATTCATTGGGAGCGGTGTCCTTGCTGTGTGCATAAGAAGCAGGGAGTCCCCAGTCCGCCTGATTTGCTTCCTGATACTCCATGCCCCACGGCTCCAGCTGTCTCACTGAAAATCGGGTTTCCGGCTCGGTACCTTCAGCCACGTATCCTTGTGCTTGACCTTCACCAGGGATGGCCACCCCCGCGCTGCAGTCATCCCAGTCCAAATCATTGTCCGAGATGGTCGCCGTGGACTGGGTGTCCTCCAGAATCACTCTGTTCCATAAGTCGAGACTGTCGGGGGCCGCCGACCGGGAGTTGGTGCTGCTGTGCAGAAGCGTGAGCTGCCGGTTTGTTTCGTTGTACAGCTGCATCATGCTGGGGTTGTCGTAGCTGGACTGGCTGCTTTCCCCAGCGTCGTCCTCCATGGAGACGTCCTTGTCGTCCGGGGGTTCTGCCTTGAGTAAATCTTTATCTGGGCTGTGGGTGGCATTTATTTCGGAACTGGTGTCCGCATGAGGTGAAGTCCACATTTCCAGGTTCCCAGGACCTGAACTGATTCGATTTCTAGGTGTCTGCAGCGGTGCCTCAGGAGGGCTTTCAGTCTCCTCTGTGGCCGAGTTAGCCTTTTTTGACTCAAAACCTCCCTCTGTAGTAAATGGCTTGTTTTCGGTTTCTTTTTCGTCTCCAGCAAATGTGGGTGATGTATAAGAATCAGAGGTGGAGTAGTTGGTATCCAAGGGGGAAGGCACCGAATCATCCCCTACGTTGGATGCGCTGTAATCGGAACATTTATAGGATAAGAAGGAATCTTCCCACGGAGCCAGAACGTCTGACCCTCCTTTCTTGATACTCTCCTCAAAAAGGTTCCAGGAATCTACCTTTTCATAGACTTTCCCCCGAATTTTCAGATCTACACCACCGTCCTGATCGTCCTTTGCTGGCTTAGAACTGTTCCATGTGTGATTCAGGTCAGACCTGGGATTTCCAGGTACAGGGACGTTAGCCCTGGAATCATGGTTCTCCTTGCCCCAGATTTCTGGTGCTGCTTTGTTACTCGCCTCGCTGGGCGAACTGTCCACCAGGTCTTCTGCAGGGAAAGAAAATCCACTTTTTGCCATGGCCCACTCCTTTGGGTCCCTCACAGAAGGTGTCTCGCCACTCGTTGGGTGCAGATTCCAGGTATTTTTCAAAGCCTCGGTGTCATCTTCTTTACCAAATGCACCCCAGGCCGGGAATGGTGCTGCAGCCGCTGGCTCACTGTCATCCACAGGGTTTCCCCACGGCTCAGGCATGGCTGCCGGAGAGCGATCAGAATGCCACAGGGCCGCAAAGTCTTCTATCAGATGGTTTGTCCCCTGCGGAGAAGCATTCGGCAAATGCGACTTCTCAGCGGGTGGGTGCTGAAACTGCAAGCTGTCCTCATTTTGGTCTTGAATAGTATTGTTGCCCAGCCCAGGCTGACCAAATTCTGACTCCCAGGGACCCAACCTGGAGAATTCAAGACTCTTTGGTTGAAATATAGAATCTGAGGCTCTCCTATCCACTGGGCTTGGCTTACGATCTCTCCAGGATTCGGGGCTCTGGAAGACAGACTCCTGTTCACTGGAACTCCACGCGTCTGCAGCAGTTTTAGAGTCAATTTCCAAACCACCCCACCAGCTGCTGCACCGCGCACGAGTCGGAGGGGGCCCGGTGTGATCTGTGTCGACTGTTTTTTGGGTCATGTCTTCTGAATAGCATAGACCTGGTTCTTCAGTGGATGGTGAGCTTTCTACAAAGCTATTCATAGGTGTTGGTGGGACCCTCTTTCTAATAGTTTCCAGCCTTTCTGGAGAAAGAGATTCATCTCCCATGAAACCTGTCAGGCTCAAATTTCTTGTAGAGTTATCTACAGGACTTTCTTGTCTGTGGACAAACTCCTCATCAAATTCCACAAGGTTATCTTTGCCAGCCTCTGACAAAAGTGAACTGGATGAATAATTAGACATGTTCATCCCAATCTCATTGAGTCCTTTAGGCCCCATGGGGAGCTGTCCTTCTGAGGAATCGCTGTTGGGGAAGAAGTCATCTGCTGGGGAGTAGTCAGCAGAATGGGAAGATGGTTGGGACTGTCCGGAAACCATGGGTGCTGGGTCAAAGTTAAAGAGGTCAAAGTGTTCCCCATGTTCTCTGGACAGTGCATGCTCCTCCACTACGGCCCCTTCAGGGATGGGACTATAGGAGTCAAATCCTGGGAGGAGACTGTGGTGAGACCCAGCACCCTCTCCCACTGGACTGTCATCACTGAGGAAAACCGAGCTCTCCTTGGATGAACGGCTGCTCCGAATGGTGGCCAACCCACTATCTGGGCTAACAAGGTCTGTGTTGCCATCCACCTGGGCCTGGTTAGAATCGTTGAGGTCTGGAGGATTTTCTATGAAATTCACGGAGTTGGGCTGCGGCTCTATGTCAGAGCCGTACAACTCCATAATCCCGGACGACCCCTGGGAGAGTGGGGCACTGCCGGCCACGGCCTCTGTGGAGGACGTCCGGCTGTTGGAGATCATCTCTGGGCACCTCCTATTGATGACTTCCTTGACAAGGAGAACCACTTGGTCACAGGTCACTGACGGGTTCTCCTGCTGGTATACCAGGATCTCATCGCAGCCACATTCAAAGGGCTCCAGCTCCAGGCAAGGACTCCGGCACTCTTCCAGTTCACAGCAAATCTGTTGGGGAGACAGGAGTTTGTATGAGCACTCAGGGCCTCTCTGCTCTCTGTAATTTGTCTTTCTTAATTTTTCTTAGTATAACATTAATCTGTGTTCATCTGTTTTAAACGAGGAACTCAAATAACTGAAAACTGTATGATGTAAAACATGGAGAGTCCCACTTGATCCACCACTAACTCTTTCTCTAATCCTATCAAAATAGCTTTTTATTGAACTCCAAAGCCAGGGGCTCAATTTTGCTGGCTTCTGAAAGTTATAGGTAAAGAGAACGAAAACCATCTAAATCCTTTCCTCAGTGTGATATCACACCATCTTCCAACAGAAGTGAAAGTGTGAAAGAAAGTGCAAACTTTCTTCAAGTTTGCAAAAACGGAAATAATGCTGGGTGCTGACAAGGACTCGTGGAAAGCGTTGGGATAAAGGGAAAGGCTTTGTTTAGTAGCAGGCAGCCGGGATCTGCTTCAATTTCTGAGAACCTCACTGAGGCAAAGGAGAAAGTAGGACAGAGAAAGCAGCTGTGGGAGGCAGAGCTTTCCAAAAACACCCGGCCCCCGCTGTCCCCTCCTGCCCCAGGGACATTCAGCACGGAGCCCAGAGCAGACAGAGGTGACTTGGGAGGCCAAGAGGATTTGTGACAGTCAGTGCGAGGCCAGAACTGGGCTGCAGTTCTATGATTTTTAGGAAGTGTTGGGGATATTCTGCACACTGGGCTTTTGAAATGGTCTCACAGAATTAGTGAAGGTAGCAAGAACATCAACAACAGCAACAGCAACAACAATAATAATAGCTACAGAGCTTGCATAGGTAATAATAATGATACTACTAATAATTAACATTTATTTATTGAGTGTTTTCATATGCCAGGCTCAGTTCTAAAGGTTTTCTGTGCATTATCTCCTTTAATTGTCACAATAATTCTACAAGATAGAAACTCCTTATCCCAATTTTGCCAGCGAGTAAATAGAGACCCCGGAAGATTAAATACCTTGACCAATTACATGCAGCTAACAAGTGAAGAAACCACATTTTGAACTTGAGCAGTTGAGCTGCAGATGCTGACCCTTGACTAACAGTGACCACACGAACAAAGAGGGATTCCTTTGGAGTAGCCCCGACCTTGTTTTGCTCAAAGTTCTGAAGAGCTGTCTCTCTGGTGATGGTTGGGAGGGTGAATGAGGGAAGGAGAGGTGGGTGGAGTAGGCCAAGGGCTTCTAATCCCTTCATCTGCTCTCCTACCTTGGTCTATTTTAAATTAACCATTTAAAAAATTGATTTGCTGCCCTGGCCGGTGTGGCTCAGTTGGTTGAGCATCATCCTGTGCACCAAAAGGTTGCCAGTTCAATTCCCAGTCAAGGCACCCACCCAGGTAGTGGGTTTAATCCCTGGTCAGGGTGTGTGCTGGAGGCAGTCAATCGATGTTTCTCTCTCACATCAATGTCTCTCTGTCTCTCTCTCTAAAATCAATAAAAATTTTTTTTTTAAATTTTGATTTGCTACTAAAAATGATTTGAAAACCCACTGTACTGAAGGCTGAGGAGATTCCTATCCAGAGGAAACCAGTAGCCAAAGATGAAATTCAGCGTTGAAACCCAAGGCAGAGCAAAGCACTGGAAAAGCCTTAGGCTGAGGACACAATGCACAGATGTATAGGGGTCAGAAAGAGGGTAAAAAACGTGCCCTGGCCAGTTTGGCTCAGCGGTTAGAGCGTCGGCCTGTGGTCCGGAGAGACCCGGGTTCGGTTCCCGCTAAGGGCACGTACTTCGGTTGCAGTTTGTCCCCGGCCCTGGTTGGTCGTGCGGGTGGCAGCCACTCGATGTGTCCCTTCACGTCGATGTTTCTCTCTCTCTCCCTTCCTCTCTCTCCCTCCCACTCTATCTGTACAAAAAAAAAAAAAAAGAGGGTAAAAATGCATCTGTAGAAGGGACAGGGGCCTCCTTTTGTTTGTCTATTTCTGTAGATGTGAAAAATATACAGGAAAATTTAAAGACCAGTGTTGTTGGACTGTAAGTCACAGGTCATGGTTAATGAGAGATGAAGCTCTAATTCTGATGTTTTTCCTGAACTACATTTTCCAATATACCCAGTTGCCTGTGTGACATGTGTCCTCTGACTATGCAAAGGCATCTCACATTCCATCCGTACTCAACCAACTCCAGGATGTTCTACTCTACTTCCTGGCACTTGCCCTGGGGCCCCTTCCAGCCTGGTCCTCCATTCTGTCACAAATGAAAGAAAAGTCAGAAAGGAACCTTGACTTCTTCTCTCCCTGACTTCATGAAATGAACCTATCACCAAATCTTATCTGCGAGAAGTTCAAAATTTCTTCTTGAATGTGTTCATTTCTCCCCATGTCCACTCTGGCCCTCCAAGGGGCCTCTTTCATATGTGGACATGAGAAAGCACACAGGTATTTTATAGTCATATGTCAAGAAAGTCGAGCTGGATCTCTTGGGGAACAGAAAGTGAGGTTGTAGAGAAGAAGGGAGCACTGTGCCCCTGGCCACGTGTGGATGCAGGAGGTGTCTGAACCGTTAATGAGGAAAGCCCGATTAATGAAACCATTCTAGGCCATGCTGTCTATATTATAGTGAATCGTGTATGCTCTCATGTTACTTACTAAATACATCTGGTTTGGTATTTTGATTAATTTTTTCTACACTTTATATAATTTTCGTAGCCTTGGGTTAAAAGATTCAGCTCTCTACCAAGAGGGTCCAACTGATTACCAAGTTAGAATCTTAGTACCTGGAGACTAACTTTGATTAAAGCCTCAGATCACCAGTTACTCAACACTAGTCACCAAAGAGGAATTCATATAGGGACTAAGAAAACAGTACCCAAAGGAGAACTGGCCCTTGTGTGGGTAAGAAATCTATGATCTCTTTCTCTTTCTCTCTAGGGATTCATTCTAGAAGAGAAACGGTTATAGGGCTCTTTTAAAAGGCCCAATGAACAAAATACCCCCAACATTTCTAAAAACTTGAACTCTAGGACTTTATCTCCTGGGACATTTTCTTTATGCCACCATCCACTCCCATCTTCCACCACGTGTTCTGAGAGCAAGCCGGTCAGGATGCGGTGAACACGGGCCAGGGTTGGAGGAGCTCCTTACCTGACTGCACAGCTCCAGGTTCTCGGAGTACACAGCAATCTGTCGCCTTGGCTGCTGCTCCTCCGACAGGTAGCTGGCCAAGAGGATGAGGACGTCAAAACCAAACTTGTCTGTAAATGCTTTCAAATCACTGGTGATACTGCTGTGAAACATGAGGTTCTGAAACAACAACAGGCAATCCGATATCAGTGTCAGACTGCGCAGCTTTTGGAAGTTTGCCACAAACTTTTCCAGTCTCACAATGTATTATGACACAGATATATTATTAGATGCAAGTGGTATAGACACTTGGAGGAAGTCTGGAAATGTTCATGAGATGGCTTAAGATGTACCTTGCTTGTTTGTTTTCCTAAAGCAAGAAAGGAAGGCGTCTTTGCCATTGTTATCAAGAACAGTTTGTCTAAGAACCACTTGTTGGCATGGCTGTTTCTTTTTCTTAAAGAAACACAATGAAGACCAATGCCTGGCATATATTAGTTGCTCAATAAATGTCTGTTGAATGACCAGACACATGTACAAAATCAACCTTTGCCACACAATCCTCTATCACAGTATATATATGGCATATATATGATCACCATATATAATCAACCAACTGACAGTGTATTGTGCTATGTAATAAAAACCACTAAATTTAAAATAGATACTTAAAACATTAATTCACCCATAACAGCTGTAGATATTTGGAATAAACTTAAAAAAAAAATCAGACGTCATGTTATACACATGCATTTCAAATAATCATTGGCTTTATCCATCAAGAACCTCAATACTGAGCTTTTTGCCATTATGAATAGTAAAATAACTTATGGTTCCAAAGGAAAACAAGAATGGACAGGAACTACCTAAATTTTATCTCCAGTGACTGAAGGCTTCGCACAAGGAGCCCTACGATCTTTTTTTCCAAAATATTTTAAAATTTTGTACCTAAAACCCCCAAATACATTTATAAACTCCTGAGAGAAGACGCTCTCTTCTAAGAGAGTTTTACATGTAATAAAATTATCATGACACTACCACTGGGTCACTCAAACGAGAGCGAGCAGATTTTACTGGTATCTGAGCACAAGATTCGGATTCGGCAGAATCAGCGTTGCTCAGAGCCAAGCTAGGGGAACACCGGCTTCTCCAAAATGTTGGCCGAGCTCCAATCTCTTGGGATTCTTCTGTGTTAAAATGACAGTTCTAGGATCTTGCTGGCTTTGAGTCCAGTGGCAGAGTCTCAGGCCATGTCCCAGACCTACTGAAGTGGAATCTGCTTTTTCTACAAATCCCAGGTGATTTGAATGCACATGGAAATCCGAGCAGCACTGCTCCAGGGCGGCGTCTGCTGTGTGCTGTGTTTTCCTATGAAGCAGTCCTTCGCGTTACTCAGTGCTGTCACGGGCCTCCTGACTCACACCCTCAGATCCTCGTTCCTCACACCATGCTCATCATAAAGATCACCCTGGAGTGTGAATTTCTGGGCTGCTTTGCAGCTTCTCATTTCGCAGGTTGAGGATTAGGTCAAGAATCTGTATTTCATTATGTACCTCAAGTGATTATTAGGCTCAAACACCCTTGAATAACATCCTGCTAGTTTTCCTCTGGGTGGCCCTGAATACCACAGGATCAGATGAAGTATTGATAAAACACAGATTTATGTGAGTCACTTGAGCATGTTATAGAAACAAAATACTTAAGTTTCACGGGAACCCCCAAACAGCAATCGTCAACAACTAGGTCCTACCTACCCTAATAAAATTGTCCAAATCAGATTCCATTTTACTGGCTTTAGGATACTGTCACGAGTTTCCCATTTAAAACCAAATCCGACAAGGGAATGAGACTCTTCAGGAATCCGGGAGGCAGAGGCTGTCTGTTCTGCTTTTATGCTGGTGCTGTTTGCATAGGAGATAATTTATTATTGTCTTCTAGCTACACAGGGAGCCATGTGCTACCATGGCTCTCAGGTTGCTGCCAAGCTGAGCTGGCCCTGAATAAACAGCACTTCATCATCAACACAACCCAACTGTAGACACAGGGTGGCGTTTCATTCCCCTCATTTGCCATCTACCTGATAAATTACTGTTTTAGTTACATGTATACAAATACTATTTGTTAATCTGCTCGAATGTCTCCAAAATGCTTCCCCTACCTTAAGTTAAAATTATATACATATACATACATAGCTCCAACTCAGTTTTGCCGAAGATTTAGAAACTAAAGGGATTCTACTTTAATTTACCATCCCTGCACCCACCATACAACCTTCCACATTTGAAGTGCGACCCCAGCCTGAGATGGCTGCACGGAATTTAGGAAGTTCCTTGACTAGCACATTACAGCTGGGAATTGACCAGCAGCAACCCAGACTATTCCCATCAGTTAAGAAGGATGGGAATTGCTTCCTGTCACAGTCCTCTGTCACTCATGGGTCCAAAGATTTGATCATTAACCATTTTAGAGGTTATGAATCCTTTTGCATTAGTAAGTCATGGTTTTGGAATGAGTAGGAAGGCCTGGAAATGTGGGGAGGGAAAGGCCTTGTTATTTCCTGACAAAAAGTTAAGGTGTAGATCTCGAGTCCCTAAAAAGAGGTTGATGATCACAATGACAAAGAGCAGGGAACAGAAATGACGGGGCTCTACTTTTACCAGTACAGTAACTGAGAACGCAGTAGTGATAGTGTCCAACAGATTTACTGTATTTGTGGTTGAAAGTGTGTGGACAAATGCAGTGAACATTTCCATTCTCTCCTATTTAGCTCTCACTCCATAACTCTGAAAAATTTAGTTTGGATGCTATATGCTGATAGTATTAGTGCATCACATGAAATAAAAGTGATCTGAATACTGCCTTGTGAACATTTGCATACTTAAATGTGAATATTCCTTAAGAGAGAAAAACCCACTTTTTAAAAAAAATTTGTTTTTATTACAGATGTTTCTAATTTTTCCCCCATTGACATCCTCCTTCCCCCCCTACCCCATCCCCAGCTTTGTTGTCTATGTTAATTGGTCATGCATACATGCATGTAAGTTCTGTGGTTTATCTCTTCCCTCCCAACCCCCTTCCTCTGAGGCTTGTCAGTCTGTACCCCACCTCTATGTCTCTGGGTTAATTTTGTTCAACAGTTTGTTTAGTTTATTATATTCCACAAATAAGTGAGATCATGTGATATTTGTCTTTCTCTACTTGGATTGTTTTGCTTAACATAATACTCTCCAGGTCCTTCCATGCTATCTCAAAGGATAAGAGATCTTTCTTTCTTACAGCTGCATAGTACTCCATTGTGTACATGTAGCACAGCTTTTTAATCCACTCATCTACTGATGGATACTTGGATTGTTTCCAGATTTTAGCTATTGTAAACAGTGCTGCTATAAACATAGGGGTACATATATTCTTTCTGATTGGTGTTTCAGGTTTCTTAGGGCATATTCCTAGAAGTGGGATCACTGGGTCAAATGGCAGTTCAATTTTTAACATTTTGAAGTAACACCATACTGTTTTCCACAGTGGCTGCACCAGTTTGCATTCCCACCAGCAGTGTACTAGAGTCCCCTTTTCTCCACACCCTCGCCAACACTTGTTGTTTGGTGATTTGTTGGTGGCAGTCATTCTGACAGGTGTGAGGTGATACCTCATAGTTGTTTTAATTTGCATCTCTCTGATAATTAGTGACATTGATCATTAGTGATATGTCTCTTGGCCATTTGTATGTCCTTTTTGGAGAGGTGTCTATTTAGGTTCTCATAGTTGTTTTAATTTGCATCTCTCTGATAATTAGTGACATTGATAATTAGTGATATGTCTCCTGGCCATTTGTATGTCCTTTTTGGAGAGGTGTCTATTTAGGTCCTCTGCCCATTTTTTAATTGGGTTCTTTTGTTGAGCTGTATGAGCACTCTATATATTTTGGAAATTAACCCCTTTCCGTTTTGTTGGTTGTTTCTTTTGCTGTGCAGAAGCTTTTTAGTTTGATGTCATCCCATGTGTTCATTTTTTCCTTTGTTTCTCTTGCCTTAGGTGTTGTATCAGTAAAAATTCTACTGCATATGTTGTCTGAGATTTTGTTGCCTGCATTTTCTTCTAGAATTTTTATGGATTCATGAGTTACATTTAAGTCTTTTATTTATTTTGAGTTTATTCCTGTGTATGGTGTATACAGGGTGGGCAAAAGAAGAGTTACAATGATTTATTACTGTATTATTATTTATTATTATTATTAACAACCTACTTTTGTTCACCCTGTATATTCTAATCTCCCATTGTTTCCTGAATCCCTCCTGTTAGGTTTCTGCCCCCATCATTTTACTTAAACTGCTGTTCTCCAAAGTACCAGTCACTTCTAGGCTGCAAATCAAAGATGACTTTCCTGTTTTTACTCTATTTGACTTCTCCAAAGAATTCCACAAGGTCTAGCCTCTCTCCTTCTTGAAACTCTTACTTTCTTCACACCTGACATCACATTCTCCTTGCTTTTTCCCCATCTCACTGGCTGCTCCTCAGACACCTGTGCTGGTTTCTTTTCCTTAGTCAACCTCTAAATGTTACTGCCCTAGGCTTTGGTTCCAATTTTTCTTTCTCTTCATCTACACCCTCTCCCTGGTGCTCTCACCCAGTCATACGGCATTCAAACGACCTGACGACCAAAGCTACATCCACCTGAACTCTAGCTTTGTCTATCCACTTGAAATTTCCACGTAAATGTCTAACAAGCACTTCAAATAAAATACAACCTACCTCTGCCCCAGTTTGCTCTATATCATTAAATGTCACCACCGTCTGTAAAAGTTACTCAAGTCAAATATTCTTGATTCTTTGCTCATTCTTCATCTGTCTGCAAATCCTGACAACTTTACTTCTGAAACATGGCTCAAGTCCAAACACTTCTCAGACTTTTCTCCATCACTGTTCTGCCATAGCTGCAGTCACCATCATCTCTCGCCCGGACCTCAGTCTCAGATCCGTAGCTGGTTTCCCTGCAGCTGCTCTGGTCTCCCTCAGACCAGTTCTCCACATAGCACCAAGGGAGAGCTTTTCAAAATGTACATAGAATCATGACACTCTGCTGCTTAAAACCCATTCAAAAATTTCTCAATGCAATCATTTTTTTAAAAATCACAGTTGACATTCAATATTATACTAGTTCCAGGTGTACAGCATAGTGGTTA